GGCCAGGTAGCTGCTGTAGTTGGCGCCCATGGAGGACAGAGCCTTCTTCTTCTTCAGGTCGTCCTCGGCTCTCCTCTTGGCGTCCTCCTCCTCCCTGCGGGCCTTCTCCTCCTGCAGTGACCCCGTCCCAGGACTCAGGGCCGGGCCAGGTGCCCTTCCCCGCAGGCACCCGGGCCCCCCTGGCCCGCCCTCTCTAGAAGCTCCCGGTCCTGGGCAGGGCCTGCCCTCTCCCAAGGGCGCTGCAGGGCTCTGGTCACTGGCTAAGACTGGGGACCCTCAGCAGCAGGAGGAGCAGGGGCCCTGGCGTGCCCGTGGGCCTGTGGTTGGGGGGCAAGAAGGGCACAGGCCTCACCGCCAGCCTGTTCTGGCGCTCCCTCTCCTTCTCAGCGCGGATCCTCTGCTGTTCCGCCCGCTCCGCACGGCGCTTCTCCTGCGGCCGGAGGAGTGGGTCAGCCCAGCCCGGCTGACCCTGGCCCCTCGGAAAGTGACCGCCGCCCGCCTCCTCCCGGACTGCCCACGCACGATTCTCTCCTTGAGCGCGATCAGCTCTTCTTCCTCCTTCTTGCGGGCCTCAAAGTGGCTGTCGATGAGGGCCTGCAGCTCCATGAGATCTTTGTTCTGCCGCTTCTTCTGGATGTCCTGTGGGCGAAGCAGCCGTCAGCCCCACCCTCCTCGCACCTCCGTCCTGCCCGGCCCCCCTGTGCTCCAGCAGAGCAGCCCTCACTCCTCCAGACACCACGAGAGCGGAACGCAGCAATGGATCCCCGAGTCACAGGGTAGGAACGGGACCCCCCACCCCCCAACCTGTGGATGAGTCCGGGCCCTGCACAGCTGTGAAGTCATCAGGACCCTGGGATGAACTAGCTCTGACAAGGCCCTGTCCCCATTCTGAGATGTCCGGCATGAGCCAGGCAGAGAGGAAACTGGTGAGCAAGATAATTTGTTGGAGGGACATATGGATGGTGGATGGATGGATGATAGATGGTGGATGGGTGGATGGGTGGATGGGTGGATGGATGGATAGATGGTGGATAGATGGATGGATGATGGATGGTGGATGGGTGGATGGATGGGTAGATGGATGGGTGGATGGATGGATGGATGGGTGGTGGATAGATGGATGGATGGGTGGTGGATGGATGGGTAGGTAGATGGATGGTGGATGGGTGGTGGGTGGATGGGTAGGTGAATAGATGGGTAGGTGGATAGATGGGTAGGT